CTGTGCCCGCTGTGCCAGCCTGGCAGCTTTCCTTGCAGGGCAGGCTCAGGGAGCTGCTCCAGGGCTGCTCCTCAGGCTCAGCTTTCTCCCTGGCGCTGCCCAGGGCGCTCCATGCCCCGTGAGCAGCAGGGTTTCAATGCTGCTGGCCGAGGCAGAGCACAGCCGTGGCTGGGACAGAACAAAACCAGCATTGACGGGCGGTCATTGAAATTCCCAGCAGCTGTTCCCTCCCAGCACACTCAGGTCTGCCCTCCTTTGCTGTCCTCAGGTGCTTCCAGGGACCTTTTCCTGGGTGGCAGGGGACAAGTCCACCCATGAGCAGCATCCCTCCTCCTCCTGCTCCTGCCTGAGGAAAACGAGCCCTGCTGGGGTGGTGTTGGGATCTGTGCTATTGATGATTCCCAGATTGTAGAAAGTCTCTGTCTTTTTGCCCCTCTGCCCCTCCTCTCCTCACCCAGCGTGTCCCTGGCGTTGGAGCACACCCAGCCGAGGGAAGGCTGGCAGAGGGAAGGTGCCACTTCAAGCCCTCAGGAGCCAGGGCTCGGATTTCAAAAAATAAAGTGAGGTTTTCATCTGTATTTGCTTAGCAAGGTAATGACTTTATTGCTGATTTGATGCTCTTGTCCCTGATGACTCAGGCACGAAGGGGAGAGCTGATAAGAGTGAAGAGGCCCGGCCAGAGGGATGCTGGTGGCTGCTCTGTGCCTGGCATTCCCCACCTGGATCCCTTCCAGGAGATTCCAGAGATGCTGTCAGCTCTGCCAGCCAGACTGTGGGCATGGGGAGGTGAAAGCAGCAGCAGCCAGCCCTGATAAGAGCTGGGCTCTGCCCCGTTATGGCTGTGGGGAAGGCACCAAGAGGAGCACAAGGTATTCCATACTTGGTGTGACCTGCCTGGGTCACGCTGTGCCTCTGGCCTCATCCTCTTTGGGAGGAACAAACCTCTCTGGTGGGAAGGAGAGGAGATATCCCCCGTCCCTGGCAGCCCCCTGAGGCCTGGCAGGCAGCAGGATGCCCCTCCTTGGAGGATTTAATCACTCCCAGAGCAACCCAGCTCCATTTCTCCATCACAAGGAACAAGCTGATGTGTTTTGCCTGAGGTCACTGCTTTAGACTGGGTGGGCAGCCCCAGCCCCACTGCACCCAGTTCCCCCCAGCCTGAACAAGAAGCTGGGCAAAATAAACTTTTTTTTTTTTTTTTTTTTGCTGAGGAGGAGGTTTCTCCTCTCCCCCACCACTTGTTCCAAGTTTGCCAGTCCCACAGAGACACGAGCAGAGCTCTGTGCAGCTGGAGGGTTAACATCTCAGCTCTTTCAAATAAATAGAAAATGACCCAGTTTCTTTATTTTCCTCTTTTCCCAAAGTCCAAACACCCAAGAAAATGAGATGGTAAGTGGAAGCCACAAATAGATTTCATGTATCCTGGCAGAGCTGGGAGATGAAAGCAGGGAAAACAGCTCCTGCCTCCCCTGCTCAGACCTGGGAATGCTGCAGCACATCCTGCCAGGGGTTAGTTTCCCTGGATCGACAAAGCAGGAGAGGTTTGGGGTCCGATCCCAGCTCAAATCCTCACCCCTGGGGGGACCAGGCTCTTCCCAAGCAGCACTGCTCCCATCTGCCTTGTTCCAAGCATTAAGGTGAGTGGCAGAACGTGCCCAGCCTTCAACTATTCCTATCACGTCCCATCTGGAGACAGAAATCTGCCTGCTGGCTTCACAATTAAAATTGAAATGATTTGATTATGGGGCTTCATTAGTAAAAACAAACACCAGGCAGCCTCCCTGCCTCCCTCTCCCCCCACATCCCCGCCCAGCCCTTCCTCCCTGGGGCTGTTTTAGGTAAATCCCAGATTCGGTCGGGCTCACAAAAGAGTTCGTGTCTGCAGCCCGTAGCTCCTGTGAGCTCCTCCTAAAAGAGGCAGATTTTAGACCCACAAATCTCCTCCTTTGGGCAGAGATAAAGGCACAGCCCTGGTGGCTCCGTGGGCTGCATGGAGTGCCCAGCAGAGTGAGGAGGGGAGCAGGATGCTTCCCAGCCCCTCTGGATGCTTCCCAACCCCTCTGGATGCTTCCCAACCCCTCTGGATACTTCCCAACCCCTCTGGATACTTCCCAGCCCCTCTGGATGCTTCCCAGCCCCTCTGGATGCTTCCAAACCCCTCTGGATACTTCCCAACCCCCCTGGATGCCCCCCAACCCCTCTGGATACTTCCCAACCCCTCTGGATGCTTCCAAACCCCTCTGGATGCTTCCAAACCCCTCTGGATGCTTCCCAACCCCTCTGGATGATTCCCAACCCCCCTGGATGCCCCCCAACCCCTCTGGATACTTCCAAACCCCTCTGGATGCTTGAGGACCTTTCCGAGGGGATCCCACAGCTCCCGGAGCTCCTGGACTCCATCCCCGTCATTCCCGAGCCTTTGCCATGGGGACATTTGTGCCTCCACACCGACCTGGCCTTGGCCTCGCTCGCTCCTTGTCCTGCCCTGCAGCTGCAGCACCCACGGCAAGGGATGAACAGGCTCCGAGTAGACACAGAGTAGGCACGGAGCAGGCACAGAGCAGGCACGGAGCAGGCATGGAGTAGACACAGAGTAGACACAGAGTAGGCTTTGAGTAGGCTCAGAGCAGACACAGAGCAGGCACGGATAAGCTCGGAGCAGGCACGGAGCAGGCTCAGAGTAGACACAGAGTAGGCTTGGAGCAAGCATAGAGCAGGCATAGAGCAGGCACGGAGTAGGCACAGAGCAGGCACAGATCAGGCATGGAGCAGGCTCGGAGCAGACTCAGAGTAGACACAGAGTAGGCACAGAGCAGGCACGGATCAGGCTCGGAGCAGGCTCGGATCAGGCTCGGAGTAGGCTCAGATCAGGCTCGGAGCAGACACGGATCAGGCATGGATCAGGCTTGGATCAGGCTCGGAGCAGGCTCGGAGCAGGCTCGGAGTAGACACGGATCAGGCTCGGATCAGGCTCGGATCAGGCACACATCAGGCACACATCAGGCTTGGATCAGGCTCGGATCAGGCTCGGAGCAGACACGGATCAGGCTCGGATCAGGCTCGGAGCAGGCTGCCCGTGGTGTGTGCAGATGCTCCGGCCCCTCAAGCATCGGCAGGTCTGGGAGAAGCCATTCCATGAACACTTGGGGTGTTGGGAACGGGCTGTGCAGGCCGGGAGAGGAGGAATGCCAACGAAGGAGGGCTCGGGAATGCTGCTGGGGTAGGGTGCACTCCCAGGGACTGCATTTCCCCAGTAGGGGCAGGACAAGGGGGATGGTTCCCAGATGACAGACAGTAGGGTTGGGTTAGATATTAGGAAAAAACTGAAGTGTCACCAAGCCAGTGGCATTAACAGCATTGCTGTCCTACCCTGGCCTGCCTTATGGGCTAAATCGTTAACCAGATCAAGGGTTTAACTTTATCAGTAGCTGGAAAAAAGTGGCACCACTTCCCTGGGGCAAAGTATCCTGAGCCCTGCAGAAATCCCTTTTCCTGGGCCTCGCTCAGCAGCTCCTTTGTCATGGGGACCCGTGGGACCCTCTGGAGCAGGGAGCACCCAGTGCCCCATGCCAGACCTGGGCTCCCAGCTGCTTTCCCCTCCAAAATCACCATTTTCACGGCCCCGAGGAGCTGGCACTCCCCCTGGCAGGGCGTGGATTGCCCTGGATTGCCCTCCTGGTGGGCAGTGCAGGAGAGGAGCCACCTCTGGAGCAGAGGCTGCTGTGTCCCCTCAGGGGAGCCCCCCAAAATCCCCCTGCCAGCCCCCCCCAGCTCCCCAGCCCTGGAAGACCTTGCCCCTGCCCTGCCCAGAGCAGGATGATTGATTATTGTTATTAGAGGTGGAGAACAGTTTCTGTGCACAGCCAGGTGGCTCAGGAGCAATTTGTCACCCACTGGTGAGGGGGCCGGGCTGTCCCTGTGTCCCTGCCCGGGTGGGAGCTCTCTGCAGCCTCGGCACGGCTGGGCACGGCCGGAGGGAGCCCAGGCTGGTGGGCACGGCCGGAGGGAGCCCGGGCTGGTGGGCACGGGCACAGCCGCAGGACAGGGCCTGACTGAGCTGATCCCTGCACCCCGGGCAGCCCACGGGGTGGGGAGGTGGGACAGCCCCCAGCCCCATGGCAGGGATCCACCCCAGCCCCACAGAGATCCATCCCCACAGCAGGGATCCATCCCTATGGCAGGAATCCATCCCCATGGAAGGAATCCATCCCCACGGCCGAGATCCATCCCCATCCCCACGGCAGGGATCCATCCCCATGGAAGGAATCCATCCCCATGGAAAGGATCCATCCCCACGGCAGGGATCCAGTCCCACAGCAGAGATCCAGTCCCACAGCAGGGATTCACCCCCAGCCCCACAGAGATCCATCCCCATGGCAGGGATCCAGCCCGTCCCCGTGGCAGGGATCCACCCCAGCCCCATGGCAGGGATCCAGCCCCATGGCAGGGATCCAGCCCGTCCCCGTGGCAGGGATCCACCCCAGCCCCATGGCAGGGATCCAGCCCCATGGCAGGGATCCAGCCCGTCCCCATGGCAGGGATTCACCCCAGCCCCATGGCAGGGGTGATCCCTATCCTGGTGCCCCCATCCCCTGCCCCCATGGCAGTGGTGCCCCTGCCCAGCGGAGGGGCTGCGAGGCAGGAAGGGGACCTGGGGGCAGTGCCAGGTGCAGTGTGCCAGGCACGGTGTGCCATGTGTGCTGTTCCATGTGCACTGTTCCATGTGTGCTGTGCCATGTGTGCTGTGCCAGGCACGGTGTGCCATGTGTGCTGTGCCATGTGCGCTGTGCCATGTGTGCTGTGCCATGTGTGCTATGCCATGTACACTGTGCCATGTGCACTGTGCCATGTGCAGTGTGCCATGTGTGCTGTGCCATGTACGCTGTGCCATGTGCCCTGTGCCAGGCACGCTGGCAGTGCCACCACAGCGGGCCACGGCGCGGGCAGCGCGGGGGGGCCGTAATGACGGTCCAGCTCAGCAAAGGCAGCAGAGCATAAAAGCAATTTCACACTTTATTAGACAATTCAGGTGCCAGCTGCACCAGCCTGGAGCGAGCTGCTGCTCACAGCTCCCCTCCTGCTCTGCAGCCCTGGGCTCATCCATCCCTTCCTCGGGCCCCACTGGTGCCAGCGGGCACGTCAGAGGCCAGCGAGGGTGGCCGGGGGCTCGGGCTGCTCCTGTGCCCTTCAGCCCAGGTGCCCACCCTGCCCCTCCTGGCTCTGCCCTCCTTTTCTGCGCCCCGTGGTGAGGGGATGGCTCTGGGATCGGGGCCTGGGCTTGGGCCTTGTGGCAGCTGCTTTTTCTCACATCTCCTCCCCTGGGGCACCCCGGATGGGCACACGGGCACCTGGGCACTCAGCCATCCCCCTGGCATCCCGGGATCTCACCTGGGATGCGTTTGGTGTCCCCAGGGAGCAGCGGGCACATGCAGCTGCCCCGTCCTGTCCCCGGCGCGTGGCCGGGCTGGCACCCACGCCCTGGGGACACGGCTGGGCGCTGTCACACCCCATGGGTGGACAATATCCAAATCCCTGCACGTCCAGGAGATGAATCAGCCCGGACAGGAGCGCCGGGGCCGTGCCAGGACAACCAGAGCTGCCCCGGAGGTGGCTCTGGCCAAATCCCGTGCGGGCAGCAGCGGCTGCCTGGCCCCGCTGCCACCCCCAGATCAGCCCTGGGCACGGCAAACCCCTGGCCTGGCATTCATTTCCCTGTTTGCACAGCTCTGTTCCCCGGTGCCAAGCCGTGGCACGGTGGCACCAGGCCAGGGCCGTGCCTAACCTTGACCCGGGCTCCTGGCGAACTGCCACCCTGCCCGGCTGTCCCCCCGTGCCCCCAGGCACAGGCATGTTCCAGCGGGCCAGCCAGAGCATTCCTGCCGAGAGAGCCTGTCCTTGACAGGCTATTTAAAGGCACTCTTGTGCCCTTTATCCCCCCCCCCCCCCCCCGGTTGGGCTGGAAGTGCCCCATGCCCTCCCGTGACTCCGAGAGGGCACTTCCAGGCCCAGGGCAGCAATTCACGGGCAAAGGGAGGGATGGGCACCCACGTCCTGTCCTGGGGACAGACCCCTGGAAAGGTCCCCTGGCCATCGAGGCTGGCAGCAGCACTGGGGGACAGCAGAGCCCAGCTCAGCCCTGGGCACCCAGAGGTTGGAGGAGCCACAGGAACTCATTTCCCTCCTCCTGCTGATGCCCAGCCCTGCCCTGCCCAGCCCAGCCCTGCCCTGCTGCCACCATGGCCTGGCACAGGGCTGGTGGCTGCTGCACCCACCGAGCTGGCACCAAGGTGACCTGATGGGATTTGATCAGGGATGGAAAAATCCAGAGGAGCCACCAGCAGGGAGCTGGAGGGGTGAACCCTGTGGTGGCTCCTGGGCTGGGTGGGCAAGCACAGACACACAGTCCCTGCCCAACGACCCTCGTCCCCAGCCTCCTCATTTCCCCTTGCTGAGGAACCCACCAGCCTTTCCCCAGGCTGGCAGCACCCCCAGGGCATGTCCCCAGCTCTGGCACTGCTGTCCCCTCCCAGGTTTTGTCTAGATGAGCATTTCAAAGGCACCTGGGCAGAGGTGGCTGCCCCCCAGCGACCCCCCAGGTACATCTAAAAGGAGGGTGAGCCCCACTCTGCCCCAAACAGCCCCAGCCCCACACGGGGGATGCACAGGGCAGTGCCTGGCGCTGTCCCCACCCGCCTGGCACCTGCTCAGGGTTGGGTGAGGACGTGCCAGCCCTGCCCCGCTGCCCAGCCCGCAGCCACGGCCGCACTGGGGAGCCCGTGGGTGGCCCGTGGGTGGCCGGGCGTGCTGCTGCCCCCGGGCACGGCAGGGCAGGGCAGGGCACAGGGCATGCCAGAGCTCGCCAGCCGGCACGGGCACCTCTGATGTGGGCAGTGCCAGGCGCCCAGGGCAGCCGGGGCGACGCCAGCCGGGTGCTCCGCTGGCCCGGGGAGGGATGGGCAGCGTGCGGTGCCAGTCCCGCGGGCTCCCGATGGCACCGGGGCAGCGCTGCCCAGCTCAGCCCCACCAGCATCTCCTAACAGTGCAACCACGGGGAAACTGAGGCACGGATACCTCGGGTAGCCAAATTCTCAGGTGCCTAAGTGCCCAGTTTCTCAGGTACTGAGGTACCCAGGAAGCCAAATCCTCAGGTACCCAGGTGCTCAATTTCTCAGGTGCCCAGGTAGCCAAATTCTCAGGTGCCCAGGTAGCCAAATTCTCCTGTACTCAGGTGCCCAGTACCCATCTGCCCAGTGCCCAAGGCTCAGGCACTCAGGTGCCCAGTTTCTCAGATACTCAGGTGCCCAAGTAGCCAAAGTCTCAGGCACTTGGATGTCCAAGTAGCCAAATTCTCAGGTGCCCAGGTAGCCAAATTCTCCGTTCCCAAACCGAGCCTTAGGTCAGGACCAACACGGATTGATTATCCAAAAAAACCTCTTCCGTGGGACCTGCGCCACCCCGCCGGGGGTCTGTGAGGGTGGCAGGGGCACTCGGGATACCGGAGCGGCGGTCCCGGTGTCCCCGCGGTCCCGGTGTCCCCGCGGTCCCGGTGTCCCCACGGTCCGGGAGCGGGCGCGGGGCTCCCTCTGCCGGCGAAATCCTCAGTGCCAGGGCAGCCAAATCCTCAGTGCCCAGGCAGACAAAGCCTGAGAACCCAGGCAACCAAATCCTCGGTGCCCAGGCAGCCAAATCCTCAGTGCCCAGGTAGCCAAATGCTCAGGTGCCCAGGTGCCCAGGTGCCCAGTTTCTCAGGTACTCAGGTGCCCAGGTAGTCAATTTCTCAGGTACTCAAGTGCCCAGTGCCCATCTGCCCAGTGCCCAAGGCTCAGGCACTCAGGTGCCCCGGTAGCCAAATTCTCAGGTGCCCAAGTGCCCAGTTTCTCAGGTATTGAGGTACCCAGGAAGCCAAATTCTCAGGTACCCAGGTGCTCAATTTCTCAGGTGCCCAGGTAGCCAAATTCTCCTGTACTCAGGTGCCCAGTGCCCATCTGCCCAGTGCCCAAGGCTCAGGCACTCAGGTGCCCAGTTTCTCAGATACTCAGGTGCCCAAGTAGCCAAATTCTCAGGCACTTGGGTGTCCAAGTAGCCAAATTCTCAGGTGCCCAGGTAGCCAAATTCTCCTGTGCTCAGGTGCCCAGTGCCCCAGTGCCCAGGTGCTCAGTGCCCAGTGTCCGAGTGCCCCCTGCCTGGCTGAGGACCCCTCTGCAGAGCTGCACTTTGCTGCTCAGTCCTGCTCTAACCAGGGACGACGCTGCCTCATCCCCCCAAGACACATTTGCCACTTGCAGCGATTTCAGCACATCCCTGGATAACTGCAGCCCCCTGCCCTCACTCACTCCCTGGTGCTGCTTTGCTTTGTGCCAACACACACACGGGACCTGGCACCCTCACACCTCCCGTCCAAAGGCGCCTCCCAAGTGCCATCCTCATGCCCACATCCCTGGGCTTTGTCCCACCACCTTCCCAGCCGGGGGCTGCCTCCCTCCAGCATCTCCTGTGAGGTGTCCTGGGGTGCCAAGCTGCCACCCTTGCCCTTGCTGGGGCTGCCACGCTCACACGGGCAAGCTCCAGCCCGCGGGGTCCTGCACGGGGACGGTCACCAGGTAGCTGGAGGGCACGTAACCCCTCTGGCCGTTCACCTCCACCAGGCTCCACTCCGTGCTGCCCTTCTTGTCGTGGGGCTCCAGCAGCACCACGGGCTGCCCCGCCTGCAGGCTCAGCTCCTGCGGCCTCCGGGCGGAGAAGGAGAAGCCGGCGACCACCTGTGGGAGGCAGGGAGGGAGGGAGGGAAGGAACCCTTGCTGGAGCTGGGAGTCAAGGGAGGAAGGATGTGGCAGTTCCGAGAGGGCAGCACAGCAATGCCATGCATGGAGGGACTGGGCACCCACCAAGGACAGTTTTCTTGCCCTGTCCACCCTTTTCCCACCCTGGAAAAGCAGGTCCACCTTCCCACCCACAGCAGGGCTAGCAGGGAGCTGGTAGGGCTGCTAGAAATGGCCCCAGGGGATGTTCCCCACTCTCACCTGGAATGTTGGGGTGAAGGTGGCCACCTGTGGCCTGGGAGCTTCAGGGGATGCACAGGAATGTCTCCTCCCCTCAGTGCCACCGTCCAGGCCCAGCAGCTGCATCACGGGCTGCTGCACTTGGACAGGGCTGTAGGGCCGGAGTTTGGCAGCAGGAACAAACCCTCGGGGACCTGCAGGACACGGACACACACAGCTCATGGGGCCCTGCTGCCTGGCACACACAGGACTGGCTGCAGGAGACAGGAGTGACAATTTGGCTGTTGCCTGGCATGGCACAGCAGCCCTGTCCATCACTAGGGGATATCCAGGAGAAATCCCTGCCAAAAAAGGAATTCCATGTGTTTCTGTGTGTGTGGATTCTCCTTCCCCTGGGGAACCAGTCAGGGCACCTGAACCTCAGAGCTGATGGCAAAGCCCAGGGGGCATTGGGCTGAGCCCAGCCTGGCAGGGAGCACCAGGAGACCACGGCCTGCTGCTTCATCCAGCTAAGGAGATGGCTCAGGTGAATCTGGCCCCGGTGCCAAGGCGAGGAGAGGCTGCCCACAGTGCCCACAGTACCTCCAGCATCCACCAGCCACCTGCTCGTGTTGCCCTTGGTGTCGGCGCTCTGCAGCAGAGCCACGATCTGTCCCCTCAGCAGTGTCAGGTCCAGGTCCCTGCTGCCACTGATGTTGCTGGTCACTTGGTAAAGCTTGTCTGGGCCGTGCTTGCTCACGAGGGAAAGGACCTTCCTCTCCTCAGCAGGGGTCAGAGGCTGCTGGGGAGCACAGGGAGGCACAGGAGCATTCCATGAGACCCTCAGGGTACTCCTGTTCCAGGTGCACCTGCTCTGCTTGCTGCAGGACCACACCCCAGGGATGGTGAAGAGCAGAAACTCCTTCACGCTCCCTGCTCCACCCCCGGGTTCGGAGATGAGTGTCCAGAACCAGCAGAGCTGAGCTGTTTCATCCCTGCTCATCCCCAGCTCTCAGGGGCTTGGGGAAAATACTGTGGCAGCCCCCTGGGCCCCGTTCTGAGCCAGCCTCCCCACCAAGGGCATTTTCTGCCCTCTGCAATCTCTCTCTTCATGCAGCTGGCCCAAGCCGTGCCCTGCCCAGCCCCTACCTGTGTGCCAGGGCTGGGTGTGACGGTCTCAAAGGCCTGGCAGAAGGCACGGAGCTGAGCCCCCGACTGCTGCAGGCTGTCCTCCACCACCTTCCAGAAGCTGGGCAGGGGCATGTGGCCATGGGGCAGCTGTGGAGACAGACTGGCATCAGGGAGAGCTCTGGGCAGGGGCAGAAGGGGAGCAGGAGGAAGAAAGGCTGAGGAAGAGAGCAGACCTGACCACTAAATTCACCTTGCACAGGGGATCAAAGGTGCTCCTCTCTGGCTCTGAGCTGCACCTTGTTCTGCTCCTGGTCGTGGCTCAGGCCAGGGCTGTGCTGCACCCCAGGGCTTCTGGCAGCCCTTGTGGCCCGTGTTTACAGCACCAGGCTCCGAGTCCTGAGCAGGGAGGAGTTCTGGGACACATCTCCCAGGGATGGGGCTGGGGGAGGCTTTCCCTAGCCCAGGAGCTGCCTTTCTCCTCCCTGCCTCCCTGGCACAGGGCTCTCAGGAGCTTTGAGCTCACACTGATCTCTCAGACAGCAGCACATCAATAAATTACCAGTAGTGTCCACAAACAGAAAGCAGGACAGTTTCTAACAGTGCAGAAGAGAAAATTTGGCTTTTCCTGGGCAGGAAGGAAGGGAGATCCTTACAAATGCTCCATGGGGAGCTGTGTGTCTGCAAGGGCAGGTGGGTCACAGCAACCCTGCAGTGCCCTGATGTCTGAGAGATCTCCCAACCTGGAGAAGGCAGTTCTAGCTCAGCTGCTGTGCCTGAGGGGTCCCACTCACCTGCTCCAGCTCCTTTTCTGCGTGGTGCAGGACCTGGGCGGCCAAGTCCAGCTGCAGGGCGCTGAAGGAGCGCAGGATCTGCCCCAGGAGCTGCACGGCCACCTGGTTGAACTGGGGGAGCTCGGCCACCAGCAGGTCATTGATGGCCAGGTAGGTGTTCATGGCTGCCTCCTCCTCGTAGCTCACGCTGCCCACCTCGCTCTTCCTCTCCTGGATCTTCTCGTAGTCCAGCAGCTTGTCCAGGCGCTTCTTGACCAACTGCTGGGGCCCCTCCAGCGTGTCTGAGAGGCTGCAGAGGGGCTGCCACACCAGCCTGTCCACACGCTGCTTCTGGGAGCGAGAGAACCCCAATTTCCACATGAGCCCCCCAGACAGGAGCAGCTGCCAGCACAGGGGCAGGGGGGAAGAAGCCTGGGGATCTGTAGAGGGGCTTGTGTGGAGTGAGGAGCACCTGGCACATCTTTCCCTGAGGGCACATGGGATGCCAACCAACACAAACCCTTGGGAGGGAGCCCGGGCAGCCAAATCCTCAGTGCCCAGGTAACCAAATGCTCAGGTGCCCAGGCAACCAAATCCTCGGGTGCCCAGGTAACCAAATCCTCAGTGCCCAGGTAGCCAAATGCTCAGGTGCCCAGGTGCCCAGTTTCTCAGGTACTCAGGTGCCCAGGTAGTCAATTTCTCAGGTACTCAAGTGCCCAGTGCCCATCTGCCCAGTGCCCAAGGCTCAGGCACTCAGGTGCCCCGGTAGCCAAATTCTCAGGTGCCCAAGTGCCCAGTTTCTCAGGTACTGAGGTACCCAGGAAGCCAAATCCTCAGGTACTCAGGTGTTCAATTTCTCAGGTGCCCAGGTAGCCAAATTCTCCTGTACTCAGGTGCGCAGTGCCCATCTGCCCAGTGCCCAAGGCTCAGGCACTCAGGTGCCCAGTTTCTCAGATACTCAGGTGCCCAATTCCGAAGGTGCTCCATGGAAAAGGCTGGGCAGGACCCCTGAATGGCTCAGAGCGGCCTCGGCTGAGTCTCCCCCCACACCCCTGCCCAGAGCCCATTTCGGGGCGCTCTGCCCCTGCCTTGGGGTGTTCTGGTCTCCTCCCCATGTCCCTGCAGGCCCAGGGACACGCTGCAGCTCATCCCAGCCCTGGGTGGGCTCAGGAGCTCTGCTCCTGCTCTGTCTCTGCCCTGCCCTCCCTCCTCCCCCGGAGCTGCTCCCTCTGTGTGCCAGGGACTGCAGATGGATCTGTTCCTGCTGCTGCTCTGGGGCACTGCGAGGGCACAGCTCCTGGCTGCCAGCCCCACTGTGCCCTGGCAGAAGTGGGAGAGCTGAGGAGATGTGCAGGGCAGGAGCACTCACAAACTCGGGGAAAACGGTGCTCTGGAGGAGCTCGGAGAGGCGGCGATGCTGCTGGGCAGGTCCCTGCTCCATCTGCAGGTCAGGCTGGTGCAGGCTGGGCAGCAGGAACGCCTGCAAGGGAGCCACACCACCCTCCTTTACCTCCTTCCCAACAATCCCGTGTGGGCAGCCCTTGCCAGGCTTTTCTGTAAGGTCTCTCCTGCTCAGGAATTGCTGCTGAACCCTCGGCCACTTCCCGAGGTTTTCCTGGTAATGCTTTGTCTGGGGATTGCATGTTCTGCCAGCACTCAGACTTTCATTTTCCTCAGATGCCCCAAGGAATTTCCATGAGAAAATCGCAGCAGCTGCTGATCCAGGTGATTTCAGAATGGCAATTTGCTGTCAGGACTGATCTGGGGACATTCCTGCCTGACACACATTATTAAAGCAAGAATTCCCAGGCTGAACAACAGCCGGCCTTTTCAATCATTTAAGACCTTGCAATAACGATAAGTTTAAGGGTGGATTATTCTCAGATGACACCAGCTCAGAGTGTGTTGTCAAAACCTCAGCTTTGGTTTAAACTCCCCTGGACCTGAGCAATCCTTGGATGTTGTGCAACTCCCTGACACAACAGCTTGGCTGCAAATCCCTAAACATCCCCAACAGCTCCAGCTTTGGGGCTGGAAAGTATTCCACAACCCCAAGGAACAGCTCCTGAGGGGATGGGGCCAGCCCCTGGCCTGTGCTCAAGGTGGTACCTCGAGATGGCCCAGGTAGGATGCCACGTTCTCCTTCAGCGTGGCCACAGCGGACGCCACACACTGGAACTTCTCTTCCAGGTCGTCATATTCCTTGTCCTCAGTCTGCAAGGAGAGAGGCAGCTTGTCACCGGCACGGGCAGGGCTGAGGCCATCACTGGGGACAAACCAGCAGCCAGGCACCTGCCTGCAGCTCACAGGGCAGGGCAGACCCTCAGGGGCTCCGTGAGTCTGGGAAGGGGCCAAAACACTGCTGCAGGCAGCAACAAAGCTCCTGGTGCTGGGGAAGGCTGGGGTGTTCTTCCTTTGCTGGGGGCCCAAGGGTCCTGCAGGTCCCTGAGGGGCTGAAGTGCTGCCCTGCAATGCTCTGGGAAGGGGTGGTCCTGCAATCCCTGTATCCTTGCAATCCCTACAATCCCTGAATCCCTGCAATGCCTGAATCCCTGCAATGCCTGCAATGCCTGCATCCCTGCAATGCCTGCATCCCTGCAATGCCTGCATCCATGAATCCCTGCAATCCCTGTATCCATGAATCCCTGCAATGCCTGCATCCCTGAATTCCTGCATCCCTGCACCCCTGCAATCCCTGCATCCATGAATCCCTGCAATGCCTGCAATCCATGAATCCCTGCAATGCCTGCATCCCTGCAATGCCTGCAATGCCTGCAATCCCTGAATCCATGCATCCCTGCAATCCCTGTATCCCTGCAATCCCTGCATCCATGAATCCCTGCAATCCCTGCATCCCTGCAATGCCTGCACCCCTGCAATCCCTGCATCCATGAATCCCTGCAATGCCTGCATCCCTGCAACCCCTGCATCCCTGCAATGCCTGCATCCCTGAATCCCTGCAATGCCTGCATCCCATGAATCCCTGCAATGCCTGAATCCCTGTATCCCTGCAATCCCTGCAATGCCTGCATCCCTGCAATCCCACTGCTCCTTGGCACGACGGAGGACCAGGAGGCAGCAGCAGCACCCCGCCCCTGCTGCCCCTGCGCTCCCCGTTCTGCTATTGAGGCACTTCAGGAGCAGCAAAATGCCCCAGCAGGGACCCGGGGAGGGGCAGCAGCGGCCGGGGTGCCCTTGGGGGTGCCCACCTTGGCCACGATGCCAGTCTCGTGCATGAGGAGCCGGCTGAAGCGCGTGGTTTTCTTGGCGATGGAGTGGGTGTTGAGGCGCGCCAGGCGGTCCCGCAGCGTCAGCTGCTCGGCCTTGTTGTATTTGCTTGCTGCCTCGGGTGGGAGGACACAAAATAAGGGGGAAAAAAAAGATCAGAAGAGGAGACCTCATGGCTGAGCAGGCAAGGAAGGGGAGCAGCACAGAGGCTGATCAGCAGGATAAGCACAAGCCACTCAAAGCAGGAAAGGACTAGGAAAAGCAAAAAGAAAGGTGAGCTCCCATCTCTGGGGAGCCTGATTTCTCCTATCCAAAGGGCAGGACTGTTATTCCCAGTTCCCCAGCCCCAGGAATGTGGACAGACTGGTTTTGTCCTCAGCCCCCCCATGCCACCCTGCTCCTGCAGCCTCTGGGTCTTGCCCAGAGTGGCATTTACAGGAGCAGAGCGGTTCCAGGAGCCGCCTGCACAGTCTGCAGCTCCACCAGGCAGGGTTAAGTGGAGGGCAGGAGAGCTCTGAACTGATTTCAGTGGGAAATAGTGCCCAGGAGCACCCTGGGGTTGGGCTGGGCGCTGTGCCCCCCTCCTGCACCGAGCCCCTGGCCACTCACCCACTTCCCTGCGCCGTTTGTGCTCGTTGATGTTGGCATTGACCTGGGCCATGGCACGAGCCGCTGCCTGCAGGGCTGAGTGGGCACTGGAACTGCTCGGGGTGTTCTCCAGGATCTTCCCCAGCAGCAGAGGGTATTTGGTGACCCTCTGCACGGGCATCACCAGGAAGAAGCTGAGGTCTGAGGCACCCGTGTGAGGCCTGATGGAGAGGGGAATGGCTCAGGGCTGGTGTGCGGGGCTGCCTTCCTGCCCTGCTGCTCTCCACAGCGTCTCTGGGAGTGTTTTTGGGAGAGAGCAGCCCAGATGTTGTGGGGCATTTCTGGCTGCTACCCTCCAGCTGCAGGGGGACTGCAGGTAGTGCCAGCCCTGGGTGGGTGTCCTGCCCCCCTGAGCAGCTGTGCTTGTCCAGCCCTGGACACGGCATCAGTGGGCAGCAGGGAGGGAGGGCACTGGCAGTGCCTCCCTTCCCTCCCACAGGAAGGCATCCATCTCTTTTTTTGGGAATCACTTGTGCCCTAAGGAGCAAATCCCAGCAGCTCCTCCACTGCCACTCCAGCTTCTCCTGCCTCTGGCAGTGTTTGTGACCCCCCTGACAGTTCAGCTGGGCCAGCCTGTGTCTCTCTGGTCAATGTGGGGAGTCTGGGCCCTCTCTGGGGAAGGCAGCAGCTGTGGATGTCACCCATCCCTTCTTTTGGCATCCATCATAAAAGATTCTGAGCCAAGGGTCCAGGACAGCTGCCAGGGATTCCACCAGGAAATGCCACAAAGGTGGTGGCCATGATATGACACCCTGGTGACACTGACCCATGCAGGCAGCTTGTCCTGAGAGGAGAAGGGCAAAGCCAGGATGTGAAACAGGGACAGGGAGGTGGTGGCTCAGCAGCAGGGACCTACACGGTGGCATTCAGGGTGGCCAGGATCTCCTCCTGCAGCCGGGGGTCCCTGCGGTAGCTCTCCACCAGCTGCAGGGCATGGTCATAGCTGGCACAGTAGGTCTTGTAGACAGTCTCCATCTCCTCCTTGAACTCCTGGAACAGCGTGCCTGGGGAAGGAGAGTGGGGCTGGAGAGAGGCTCCTTTCCCACGGGCTCAGAGAAGGCAGGGTTTATCCCCAGCCTGCTGGAAGGACAAAGCCAATGGAGCAATGCCAAGCGTGCCAGGGCAGGGCTCTGCTAAGCTGGGCACCCTGCTAAGCTGGGCCTGGTGCTGTCCCCATCGCTGTCTGCAGGCTGGGCAGGTCAGCCTTGCCCCGTGGGGGGACACGGTGTGGTGGCACCGGCGCTTCCCAGAGCCAGGGCAGGAGCGGGAGGTGCCAGGGCAGGGGGCTGGGCTGGCACATCCCCTCACGGGTGGGCACGGGGCAGCCCCTGGCACTGCACCACTTACTGATGCAGAGCAGCTGCTCCTGCCCCTGGCCGGCTGTGGCCTCCAGCCCCTTCAGAAACCGTCTGGAGACGTGGAGGATGTCATCGGTGTTAGAGAAGAGTCCTTCCAGGTCCAGTCCGGGCAGCTGAAGGGAACAAAGGTGCCCCAGGCTAAGCCAAATACATCAGAGATGGAGCAGGGGCTTTAGAGGCACTGCTGGTGACCGTCTCCCTGCCCCGTGGGACACCCCAGCGAGTGATGCTGTGTTTCAGGAGGCTTTGGGAATGCTGAGACCTGTCTGGGTCCCAGGCAGGACAGGGTTAAGTCCCTGGGTGGCTGCACTGGGTCAGACCCAAGTCCATCCTAGGCTGGTGAGGGGGAGCACAGGAAGGTGGAAGGAGCCCCTACAGCGATTTGGGCATCTCAGGGCTCTGGGTGGATTCACCCTGCAGCCCCGGGCGGGGGTGGCCCGTGTCAGTGTCACCTGCTTGTCCCGGAGGTGTGCCCGGATGTCACACACGCACAGCTGCAGGTTGTGGACGTAGCTGGCCTCAGTGCTGATGAGCTCCTCCAGGGCCAGCCGCTGGCTCTGCTCCGTCCTGTCACACGACATCACCTCGTACCCGGCCTCTGCAGCCTCAGCCGCCTCCCCAGCGCCCGGCTCTGCGCTTGCCATCCCTGCAGGGGTGGCAAAGCAGCCCTGGCACCGGTGCTCTGGTGCCCAACCAGCTCAGTGCCCGTGCTCCCTCCCTTGTGCCCCTCAGCCCATCCCCACCTGCACGCTCCAAGCCCAGAAAACCATCAAGTGCTGCCAGGCAGGAGCAGGCTGGCTGCAGACACCCACGGGTGGCAGGCAGGGACTTGCCACACACGTGTGCCCACGCTCCAGTGGCCATGTGTGGGGCTGGGGTGCAGGCAAGGAGCCCCCCAGCTGCCACCCAGCACTGGGACAGTGTGGGGACCCGTCCCCATGGGCCGGGCAGGGTTTGCCACCTCCCCTCCAGCTCCACGCTGCCAGGGCCGGTTGTTCCCTCCCTGCCTTGGCTGCCGGCGCCTGGCACCCAGCCTGGCATTCAAGGGTCCTGTTCAAAGTACAAAGAGTGGTTCTGCAGTGCTGGAACAAGAGATGTTTCTGTGACAGCAAGAGCTGCTTTAAAAGCCACTGGGGTGGGGGAGAAGTGGGCAGAGCTGCTGATGCCTCTGCCAGATGCACTGGCAGCCACTGGTATGCAATGCCAGGGCCCTGCCTGGCACAGCACGCTCTCCTCTCTAAAATCCCAGCTGATTCCTGATGTTTTCTTCTCAGGAAACACGCTCTGCTCTGATAGCAGGGAGGATGAGCAGCTCCCAGAGCATCCCAAACAGCACTTGGCTCCTGGCAGGAAGGCCTTGAGAGAGGGAGGTGTGGCACAGGCACAGCTGGGCAGGAATGTGGCCATGCCATGCGGAGGAGGAGAGGAGCACAGGCAAGGCAGAGGTGGCAGATAAAATCCAGATGGCACAAGCAGCAGCACAGACTTTGCCCTGCCCTGCCTGCCCAGGCAGTGTCAGCCTCCACAGCCAGACTGCAGCATGCCAGGTGCCCACTTTGGAGGCTGCAGCCCCTCTCCCTGTCCCTAACGCAGCTGCGAGCCGTGGGCAGGGTCAGTGTCCCCTCCTGGCACACACCCAGTGCCAGGCTTGGCACAGCAAGCGAAGTGAGATGGCACTGGAGCTCCGCTTGCCTGACAGGGGTGTGCCACCCTGCCAGCTGTCATCCCTGCCCTCTGGGATTTGGCTGCCTCCCCTGCCTGTGGGATGGGGTGTGGGGAGGAGGAGACTGTTCTGCACCCCTCTGGGGGCTCCCCAGGTGTCCAGGCCCATCAAGGACCAGTGTCCTCTGCCTGGGGTGGCACCAAACCCCAGTTCAGTGGAGGCAGGTGGAAAGGCCCAATCTGAGACACCCCCTGAGCCCTGGAGGGGTGCCCAGCAGAGAGGCATGCCAGTATTGGGGTGCCCCTGGTCACTGCAGCAGCATCCCCCCAGCACTGAGCCACTCGGGGGGGTTCCCCAGGCTGCAGAAACCTCCTTGTCTCCCCTCACCCCCCTGGCCTGAGACCTCAGCAGGACAAGGGACAGTGCAAAATGAAACTGCAGCATTTCTGGGCAGCGTTAGAGCAGGCAGGCAGCACAGGAGCAGGTTTCGTTTCCCCAGCCCCCCCTCCCAGGCAGCTTCCCGCATCTGAGCTGTCACTGATGCCTCAACAGCTGCCAGCATCCCTGTCCCTAAGGGGGACTGCCAGCATCCCTGTCCCTAAGGGGGACTGCCAGCATCCCTGTCCCTAAGGGGGCTCGGGACACCCCTGTCCCTAAGGGGGCTCCGGACATCCGTGTTTGTAACTGGGGGGGCTTTGGGCATCCCTGTCCCTAAGGGGGCTCGGGACATCGCTGTCCCTAAGGGACCTCCGGGCACCCCTGGCCGTGACGGAGGAGCTCCGGGCACCCCTGTCCATGACGGAGGGGCTCCGGGCACCCCTGTCCATGACGGAGGGGTTGTTGCCATCCCTGTCCATGACGGAGGGGCTCCGAGCACCCCTGACCGTGACGCGGAGACCGGCCCGGCCCTCCCCGACACCCGCGCACAGAGGTCGCCAGCTCCGGCCCCGCAGCTCTCCCCGCGCCCCAGGAGTGTCACCCCCTGTCCTGAGCCAGCCCAGCCTCTCCTCTGCCCCCCGAAACCCCCGGTCCCCGCTCTCACCTGCCGAGCGGGCGGCGTTGCGCAGCTCGCCGTGCCCGGCCCCGCTGCCGCCGCTGCGGGCGGTGACACCGCGGCTGTACCGGGCGGGATCCCGGGCGGGGGATGGTCCCGGGCAGGGGATGGTCCCGGGCAGGGGATGGTCCCAGGCAGGGGATGATCCCGGGCAGGGGATGGTGACCCCGAGCAGAGCCGGTCCCGCCCAGGGCCCCGGTGCGGCCGCGGCACCGCCGCCGCTCGGTCGCAGGCGGAGCGGGGCGGTCCCTGCGCACGCCCGCCCGCCTGGCACCGGCTCGGCTGGCACCGACTGTCCCTGGCCCGCCTGGCACCGGCCCGGCTGGCACCGAGCACGGGCTCCCGGCCGCCGGAACGGCCGATCCCCCGGTCTGTACCGGCCCCCGGTGCCGCCCTCCCCGTGTGCCCCGTCCGTCCAGCCCCGGGGCGCTGGGTAGGGGACACACCGGGACAGCAGGGGACACCCGGGACAGTAGGGGACACACCGGGAGGACACACCGGAGGGCAGGGGACACACTGGGAGGGCAGGGGACACCCGGGACAGCAGGGGACACACCCGGGAGGACACACCGGGAGAGCAGGGGACACACTGGGAGGGCAGGGGACACCCGGGAGAACAGGGGACACCCGGGACAGCAGGGGACACACTGGGAGAGGGCAGGGGACACCCGGGACAGCAGGGGACACCCGGGACAGCAGCGGACACACCGGGAGAGGGCAGGGGACACCCGGGACAGCAGGGGACACACCGGGAGAGGGCAGGGGACACCCGGGACAGCAGGGGACACACTGGGAGGGCAGGGGACACCCGGGAGAACAGGGGACACCCGGGACAGCAGCGGACACACCGGGAGAGGGCAGGGGACACCCGGGACAGCAGGGGACACACCGGGAGAGGGCAGGGGACACCCGGGACAGCAGGGGACACACCGGGAGAGGGCAGGGGACACCCGGGACAGCAGGGGACACCCGGGAGAGAAGGGGACACACCCGGGAGGACACACCGGGAGAGCAGGGGACACACCGGGAGGACACACCGGGAGAACCGGGGACGCACCGGGAGGGCAGGGGACACCCGGGAGAGAAGGGGACACCCGGGACAGCAGGGGACACCCGGGACAGCAGGGGACACCCGGGAGAACAGGGGACACACCAGCTCGCCCCTGACACCGGTACCAGGGACAGGTCCCCCGTGTCCCCCTGGCATTGCTGTGGCCCCGGTGCAGCCCCAGCGGTGCCCTGCTGTTCCCACAGCCCACCCCAAACCCACAGCGCTCCCGCCGTGTTATCCCAACCAAGGTCGGGCGTGTTCCCGGCACTGCCCCCCTGCTCTGCCGGCCCTTACCAGTGCTCAGCCTCGGGAACGGCGGCAGAGAAAACAGAAATGAAAATAGAACCGAGGAAACGGTTGCCAAGGTTAGGGCATGGGGAAGCAGTGCCTGCTTGGCATGAAGTTGGTTTTTTGCTTGGTGAGGTGTTTGCATCCTTATAAATCAGCTATTGAGAAGAGAGAGGCTGAGCCCTTGTCCTGAGCACACGGAGGGGATGGCAGCGCCGGGGTTTTTCCAGGCTGACCCGCAGTGTGCAGAAAGTGTCACTGTGAAAAGGACTCTGGCTTTTTCAGTGACTCATGCAGGACAAGGCAGCGTCTGTGACTGGATCCAAAACTCCCCATGGACCAGGAGAAGCTCTCTGGCACTCCCAACCCTTCCCTGGGGGTCCCTTTGTGACATGGGCAGGACAGGGCAGCACAGGGACCCACCTGCACCTGCTCCTCTGGCTCCCAGCCAGTGCTGGTGCCACAAAGGCCACCCTGTCCCACTGCTTGTCCTGCCTGTCCCACCTCCTGCCCACGGAGAGACAAAACTCATGGAACTGGCTGGGCAGGAGGGCGGCTGGGGTAAAGCAGCCCAGGAAGATCATTCCCAGGCTGCTCTGTGCCGTTGGGCTCAGGGAGGGGCCCACACACGGCCGGGCAGAGAGGGCATTACCTGGCTGTGGCCTTGGGCACACAGAAGTCCCTCCTCCCTTGCAGGTGGCAGCAGGGCTTCAGTCCTTGCCCAGGCGCTTTCTGAAGCAGCAGGAGGCCCTTTGGGCTGGCATTGCTCTGGTGCCAGGAGTTCTCAGCTCCATCCGTGGGCAGGAGCCCTTACTGCCACGTCCAGCACAGCCATCGGGACACATCACAGCTGCTTTGCTCCCATCAGCACGTTGTGGATGATCCAGGACAGGAACCACGAGGGAATCCCAGCAGGGCAGAGCTCCCTCCTCCCCCAGCATCTTCATCCCACCGGGCAGGACCAACATCCCCAGCCCCAGCTCCTCCCGGGCCAGCTCACCCCACGGGTGTTCCCTCGGGCATATTTCCCATTCCAGTCTGGTTTTTCAGAGGCAAGATAGCCTGGCTCCAGCGAGTTCCTTGCAGGATGGGCTTGTCCTTCCTGACAGCTCCTTCCCTCAGCACAATCTCCTTCCTTCCTGCCCTGGTGCTGGCACCACACACCTCCCGTCCAGCCCTGTCTCCACTTGCCTCACCTGGGTGGCTCAGGGAGTGCTGGGAGTGGTGTGACAGCGCTGTCACCGCTCCAGGGCTCCCCAGGAGGTGTGACACTAGGCTGGCTGCCCTGGCCCGGCTCTCCTTACACAGAAAAGCAAACAGGCGCTGGCTGGTCGAGCACAAGTGTTTGTGTGGCAGGGTTGTGCTCAGCTGAAGCCAAGCTGAAGTGTCCCAGCAGGGCGGGCTGTCCCCTGGCACCCAGCTGGGTGTGCTCCCACCCTGCCAACACAAACCCAGCAAGCTGTGGCAGGGAGTGGGGTGTCCTGTGGGGCCGTTGTGGGAGCCTGCAGGGAGGCAGGACCGGCTTCTCCTGCAGCAGAGCAGCTTTGTGCAGCCCCATTGCAAAACTGCTTCTCCCAGAGCAGGGTGAGCCACCTCCCCAGCACTGCCAGCACTCTCCATACCCACTGCCACAGCAGGAGTGCTCTGCCAGCCCTTCTCGGGCACTATTGAAGAAAAAACCCAACCCCAGGAGGTGAGGCTGGTGGGACTCATCCCCTGGGACCCTCCTTGTGTGATGAGCACAGCCTCCGCCTCAGCCCAGGGCTGGAGAAGCACCTGATGATGGTTCTGGCTCAAAACAGGACGTGGTGAAAGCCTCGGGAAGAGGAAGCTGGATGGGAGGCAGGAACATCCAGGCAGAAGGCACCACCTCACTCTGAAAGGGGTTATTTCCACCCTACATTTCCCCCTGAACTTGCTGGCTCCTGCAAAGCCTTGTGCTGTTTGGCCTTTCCCCAGCTACTCCAAACATTAACGCTCAGGATATTGGGATGAAAGCTAAAGCCATCAGGGGGCTCCCTGGGAACACTCCAGACAAGCTGGGAGTTAAACAGGGCTTGCTCAGAAAATAAACACAGCTTCCAGCCATGCAAAGCACCACCGTTCAGGCTCTGCCTAATAACAGCAGGTGGGGGGGTTCTTCTCCAAGCAGCAGGTTTGGACAGGAAAGTTACATTTCCTCAATTTAATCTCTTCCATTCTTACTGTTCTTTCCTGTCTAGAAAGGACCTGGTTTCCACAGGATGGAAAGGAAAACACAGGGAGAAAAACAGCAACTCAAGAATGTGCTCCCAGGTGCGTTCTAATAACAAAACTTCCTCCCACACAGGGAGGCAGGGATCAGAGCTGGACTTTGCCTGCAGCCCCACTGCCTGTGTGTGCTGTGCTCCAGCTCCAGCTCCAGCGCTGGAAAGGAGGAAAAAGCCTGTGAAATTAAAGGTTTTCATTCTGCTGAGCTTGCCACCAGCATGAGCAGCTCCTGAAAAAACAGGGATGTCATTGCTTCCTCTTCCTTCTTCCTTTTCCAGCTAAGGAGGGCTGTGCCTGCCTGCTGGGGATGATCCCATCCAGGTACTCGGCCAGGGCAGGTGGAACTGGTGTCAGCTCCAGGGGTCTGGATGGAGCTGCAGGCTCCAGCCACATGCCTGCACCACGAGGCAGAGCACAGCCTAAAAATAAGCAGATAGGATTTGATCTAGGCAGCAGAAATGAAGAGTCAGCCCTTTATTTTTTCCAAGAGGGTTATTTATGGGCCTTGCAGAGGCCTCCTTCATGGAGGAGGCTTCAGCCCCTCTTGGCCTCTCTGAGGCTACAGCATGGATCCTGCTGAATCCATGTTTTTGTGGTAAAAGCTTCACATCCACCAGCCTCTGTGCTCCTTCCCTCTCTGCTCTGCTGCTCTGCCTTGCTTTTCCTACCCCAAGATCTCCATTTCTCTCCCAGGGCTGCTGGCTCTGGGCCTTTCACCCGTTTCTCACAAATCCCTGCAGCCAGCTGAGCCAGCTGGTGCTCCCAGCAGCTCAGAGGCTGGTGTGAGGTGAATCTGAGGAATATCTGAGATATTCCTGTTTCTGCCCTGGCAGAGGACATTGCTCTCTCAGGACCAGCAGGGAACGCAGAGCTGCACGGTCCATGGGCAGCTGAGCTGAATGCAGGCAGAGATGGAGATGGAGGTGTCTGCAGCATCCTGCAGCTCTGGCAGGAAGGACACACGTCCCCAGGCCACCCACACCCCCACGGGGCACTGTCAGTGACAACACTCCTTGCCCAAAGCATTCCACAGGCCACCCCACTGAGGAGCTTCTGCCTGCAGCAAGGAGGGAATGAGACGTGAGAAAAGTTAGAAGAGCTCAGAAATTTCTGGTGGTTTCTGCTGATTACTCATTTCCACTGATCCAATACTGATCTCCTCCCTGGCTGACTTCGTAGGATTTCTGCTCCTGCCACGTCATCACAGCCACCCACTCATGGAGATGGAACTCCACGTGAGTTCCTCCTCCTCCTCCTCGTCATCCCTGTGGGCACCCCACAGCCCCGGGTACCCCAGGCATCCCCTGCCCACAGCTGCCCCCGGTGCTGCCACTCTCCTGCAAGAGGCAAGGGCTTGGGAAGCCAAGGGAGGCACATCCCCTAAAAGTCACCTTCTCCTTTGGGATCAGGCACCTCTGGAGTCCCACCAGCTCCTCCAGGCAAATTCCTGCAGGAGTGGCTGTTCTGGAGGCGCAGCAGAAGCTGCTGCCTGCGCAGGAGGAGCCGCAGGAGCTGACTTCTCTTGCTTCAGAGAGAAATGAGGGGTGGCAGGGAGGTGAGAGCCCCTTCCAGCTGCCAAGCCAGTCCTTGGGCAATCTCCCCATCCCTTTTCCCACTGACACACCCAGAACGCCCGTGCCATGACAGGGCTCGTGTCTCTGCCACAGGCAGGTGCCCCTTGAGAGAGCCACCGGGTGCTTGTTTCACTGCTGGAGGCAGAAACCCAGCCCAGGGGGCTCAGCTGGGGCTCACAGCACGGTGAGGACACCTCAGGCAAAGACCTGGCAGGTCACCAGCTCCAGTCTCTGCTGGGAAGGAGGGCAGGACTAGGCAGCCCTGAGTTTTGTGCTACAGCCTGGGGAAATTCATGGCCAAGAGCTCTTCCAT